AGCCCAAGTGCCCATCAACTGGAAACTGGATAAAGAAGATGTGGTTTTTTTATAAAATGGAGTACTACTCAGCCATAAAGAACGAGAAACTAGAGTCATTTATAGCTAAATGGATGCCTATTGAGGCTATTCTCTTAAGTGAAATAAATAGGACACACATGTGTAAATACCGAATAGTTTCTGTAGTGTGAGAAACTGAAAGTGTAAATAAGGATGAAAATGATTAAGAAGAATAATTGATAATTTGAAATAGGAAAAGGTCCAAAAGTGTAGGGGTAGTGGGAAGGGAAGGGGAAAGGGAAGAAGGGAAAGGAAAAATTATGAGAAAGGAAAAAAAAATGGAAACAAAGTCTATGTAAATAGGGAAGGGTGGTGGGGGTGAAGGGTGCATAGGTAATGGGGGAAAAAATAAGAACTAAAATACATCATGTTCAGGTACAAACACCCAATGATAAATGTAAATGTATTGTATACCTAAAATGTACTAATTAATATATAAATAAAAAATGAAATAAAGTAAAATTTAAAAATTATAAAAAAGAAAATCAAAAGTACAATTAGATATAAGTTCACTCTAGTTAGAACAGCTAGTATCAAAAATGAAAAGTGTCAGTAAGGATATGGAGAAAAAGAAACTTTGTACACTGTTGGTGGAAGTGTAAATTAGTAGTATGTCCATTAATTAAGATAGTATGGAGTTTCCTCAGAAAATTAAAAATAGGAGTAGATCAGCCAGCAATCCCCCTACTGGATCTGTATCCAAAGAAAATAAAATCACTATCTCAAAGAGATATTGCACTACCAAGTTCACTGCAGCATTAATTCACAATAGCCAAGATATCCAAACAACCCAAATGTCCTACAACCGATAAGTAGATAAAACAAATTATATATATATATATATAATTTGCACACACATGCACAGACAAATGCACATACACCACAAAATGGCATATTGCTCAGCCTTTAAAAAAGAATACATTCTTCAATTTGCAGAAAAAGTGATAAACTGAAGGACATTATGTTAAGTAAAATAAGTCAGACACAGAAAGGCAAATACTACATGATCTCACTATAAGTGAAATTTTTAAAAACCATAGGAACAGAGTACAATGGTGATTACCAAGTGTTAAGGCTTATATCTAGATGTCCCCCCCAAAGCCTCATGTGCTTATAAGTGGGGCTTTGGGAGGTGACTGGATCACGAGTATGTGATGCTAGATTAATCTGCTGATTAGTTTAGCATAGTTCTGGGTGTAGACAGTACATTTACTGAAGATAGAAGATTCATCCTGGATGTGAGTGGCAACAACTATTAGGCTTGCAGCCTGGATGGAATAAAAAGAAAAAGAAGAAAAAAGTCATGCTGCTGCCTGTCTGCCCTGCCATGGACTGTTTCTTTTCTGCAATGCCCCTTTGCCATGCTACCCTGCCTTGGAGACAGCCAACAAGAAACTAAAACTTCTACATGCTGTAAGGTAAATAAACCTTTCCTCCTTTAATGTGTGGGTGCTGGGTATTTTGTCCCAGCAACAAGAAAATACAGTAACTAATACACCAAGGATAAAATGTGAGAGGAAAGTGGAGATTTTGGTCAAGGGGTCACACTTCCAGTTCTAAGAAGAATGAGTTTCAGGCTCTAATGCACAGC